GTAACTGTTCTCCAGTTATCTGTTCTAAGTATTTCTGGTTCTTGCCATCCTACATTTTATTCCTTTTGTGTCAAATATTTATTTCTGTGGGTGCAAAGCAGAGCACACAAAGTTAATAGAGTTATAGAAAATGGGATGCATGGCAATTTTATTAAAATTATGGACTGACCATACTTACCTTCCAATTAAGGGGAACCTGTGCTTTGGTCATGCAGGGCAAAGCAACAGGTGCAGTTAAGATCCTGACTCGTGTCCTGCTTCCCACCGCTACATGCACCACTGGAACAAAGAACCTAAGTTCTAAAATGCTCTAGTCAGAGCTTGCAGGGGGCTAAGGGCTTTGTCTTACCTTCATTGATTACTGGAACTCAGAGACTTGCAGATATATTGTGGGAAGAAGAAGACATATTTACATGCTGTCCAACACCTGAAAGTATCACTATTTCTCTTGGAGTGGTGGGAGAGTGAAGGTAAGGTGAGTTTGTGAAGGGGCATATCGTTTCTAACCCTTCTCCACTCTATCCAATACAATAAAGGTTTTGGCTAGAGTTGGGCTTTAAAGGTCATCACACAAATAAGATATCTGCAACAGTAACAGTAATCCTACACTCCTCAGCCAATAATTTGGCTGTGTATTGGCTGCTTTTGACTTCTATGGCCAATAAATATCAATTCGAATATATTTAATGGTCGAGGTAGAAAATTGGGTCATTTAAGTGCCACTTCAACATATATATTTATCACTTTAATGATTGCTCCAATTATTCCTTCTAAAATAGGGACACTCGTTACCTGCATACTTTGTCTTTTAGACTTGGTCATAACCTAATCATGTGTGCCACTCCTTAAAAGACAAGCATAAGGTAATCTGTTGTCTGAAGCCTTGTCTCATTTGTGAGCTATCTAGCCACTGATCCCAATATCTCAAACATCAGGTGGACTTCAGATTTAATATGATTTTTTTTAACACAAATGTCAGTCTGTCAACAAGTATTAAAAGTATTTAATGTAGCAGCATGATATGAGTGAAAATCCCCAGGTGTAGGAGACCCATGCACAGGTGCCCCATATCAAAAGGAGCCATGGTGCAGTTTGTTTTGAAACAGAATGTTCATTTTTATCTAGATTATTTAATTATTAAAATATTACTGCATTCTCTAATAATATACTGTACTACTATTATTCAACATGAATTTTCACATCAAAACGTGCTGTATATTTACTAAGATTAAAGATGATTTCACAGTGTGTAATTTTATCATTCTAGAGAAATCAAAAAGTCTTGCCCGTGTGGTAAAAAATCTTCTCATCATCTCTGTATGATCTAGGTCACCTATTGCAGCAAGTATATTTCCTACAAGATTAGCTAATGTTACAATTCCAAAAAAATTCCAAAAATTCCAAAAAAAGCCAGCATTTAAACTTGTTCTGATCCATTTTATTTTATTACCGTAAATCAGATAAATCTTTATTTGACATACTACAATAAAACTTTAAAGATCAGATCAAGTTTAGTTGCTGGCTTTTTTTGGACCTTTACTTGAACAGGAGTTGCTATTGTTCATGACTTTCTCTAGTTCAGTCCTAATATTGCACTAACCAAGTGAGCTGATTACTGCCTTCCTACTAAAAACCTTTTGTTGTAATGTTGTAAAGACATAACTGTAATTACATAATCATGATCTGTCTTTCAGCATCTACCTGTATTGATTCCTGCTCATGGTCACAGTGGTTTGATGTGTCATACCCTAAATATGAACCAAATGGAGGGGATTATGAAACTTATGAGAACATCAGAAAAGAAAACTTTGAAGTGTGTGATAAACCAGAGAACATTTCCTGCAGAGCACAGAAATTGCCAGATATACCACTGGAAGAGGTGGGCCAGATAGTGACCTGTGATGTCTCCACTGGCTTAGTGTGTCACAACAAAGACCAGACTGGATTCATGCCAGTGTGCTACAATTATGAGATCAGTGTCTACTGCTGCAATTATTGTGTATCAACACCTGAGCCTACAACATCAACCACCACTTTAACTAAGACGACTACATCAACCACTACAAAGACCACAACAACACCAGTGACTACATCACCAATACCAAGTAAGTTCATAAGTACCAAAATATTACCTATTATAGGGGAAAAGTTTAGAGACTCGGTTTCCTGTTCTGTGCCTATTGTAATTAATTTTAACAGGTTGGGGAGCAAGTATTATGCTTCATAGAAAATAATATATTGGTTTCCTGAGACATTGACCTGGAATGTTTCCACTGTTATGGTGTGTATTACATCTAGAGATACATATGTGTGATATGGCATTATGTTTGTGTTACATTGGATGTGAAATAAAGCCTGCTATTGCCATCTGTCTGATTATTCTCTAATCACCGCTATCTATATTACCACAGCAGAGACAACAACCACCACAACTGAGACAACACCAGAGACAACACCCACCACAACTGAGAGAACACCGGAGACAACAACCACCACAACTGAGACAACACCAGAGACAACAACCACCACAACTGAGAGTACAACACCAGAGACAACAACCACCACAACTGAGAGTGCAACACCTACAATTGTTATAGATACTACAACTACTACAGAGAGTACAACTACTACTTCTACATCTGTTACCACACCTCCACCTTCATGTGAGTTGAGTGTAATAATCTTCACTGGTAAATCATAAAATAATTTCTGTTCTCAGGACAAGCTTTTCTACTGGCAGTAAAAGAGAATTAAAATACAAATTTATTATAGAATGATGGAGAGACAGTCCTCCCTGCTAACCATCTGATACAGGTACCCACAGGCATTAGACAACATGTTGTTGAATGGAATGGGCAGCAATCTAATATCCAAGGGCCATTTACATACACTACATTTGCTGAGGAATAAACCTACCTGACATAGTAGAAAGCCATTCACAATTGCTGTTGTTTCCTTACATGAACCACCACAACTGTGTCTACACCACCTACAACTGTTATAGAGCCTACTATAGAGACTATAACTACTACCACATCTATTACCACGTCTGATGATGGAGGAACTGCCCTCCCTGCTAACCATCTAATACAGGTACCCACAGACATTAGATGACATGTTGTTGGATGGATTGTGCCACACTCTTATGTTTAGAGACCACTTCCATTCCTAAAACATACTTTGTCAATGAATAAAATGGCTAGATATAGAAAAAAAACCCTTTTCTTACTGTTGTTTCCCTACCAGAAAAGCAGGGGGCATGACTATTTGCACAGTGTGACATTTTTCTGTCCTATTTTGTTTAAAATTAAGCAGTGCCTGCAGACTTTGGGAGATGGTTCAATCATTCATGCATGGCTGATCATTTTCGTATGTTTATGTTCAGCTTTGGGCATGTGGTTGTTTCTTTGTGATAGGAGAGAAGGTAGTGGTGTATTTCACCACCTCTATAATTCTCTCTGAAAGCCAATTCTTAATTCTCCCGAAGTTCAAGGCAGGTTCCTTCTTGATTTTGTGCCCTGTTAGGTGTACAATCACACAAAGCTGTAGAGTAATTTCTTTTTTCCCTATTCCGTATACTGTAGCTGTGCGAGCAATGTTCACCATACAATACCACCACTAGATGGAGCCAAGGAACAATTCCTATGCTCCTCAGCTCCATTTACTGGCAGTAATGCATTGTAAAAGTCATTCACACAGATATACGCTGTGTGAACATGTTATAAATCAGCCACTAAATGTCAAAGGTCCATTTCTATGAGTGGAAATCAGAGTGCTGGCAGTTTTTTTTAAATGACAGATGGCAGAAATGGAGGCATAGAGATACAAATACAAATCTGGACAAATCCCTTCCTGGCCTTGCTGGTTATTGGCACTCAGACATTCAATGCTGTATTGTTGGAGGAAGGGTAGAAATGTACATGCTTCCCTATACCTGGAACTACTGGATATTTCTATTTGATGTAGGCATTAAAATGGGGTGGTTGGGGAGTGAATGCAAGGTGAGCTTTTGCAGGGAGGAAGCTGGGGGGGGGGCATAGTTTCTTTACCTTTCCCACTATATATAATACTTACAGTAATGCATTTGGCTGTAGTTGGGTTTTATAGTCGTCACACACGAAGAATATTTGCAAGGAGGAGTCATTTTAGAGCTTTTAAACCAATTATTTGATGATGTATTGGTTGCTTCTGACTTCTTCAGCCATGCAATACAGCATATGTAATTATCAAAGTAGAAAACTAGGAAGATCAGAGAATATCTAAACACATGTATGCAGCAATCATTGCTTGTATTCTTCTCTGTAGAATATGGGCAGGCAATAGCTGTATGAATTATCTGTTAGATTGGACCAACACCATGGATGTAAATGTAATTCAGATCAGGTTTTGCAGCAAGCAAGCATGCTAACTCTGTCACGTAGATGGCTTCTGCATTACCATCTATAGAGAAAAGGCGATTCATGCATGGTACTATGTTGTTCACTTGCTCAGAAGAGGATCTATGTATTTTTATGTTTTTATATGAATTTATCATCTAAAAATGTTTTTTGCTCAGTAGATAGACCATTTCTAAGGCCACATTCACACTAGGATATTATGGTAATGCACTTTAACTTACAATATGTGTATTGGTGCGCTGTATTGGTGAGCTGTGTTGCCCTTCATTGTGAATGGCAACCAACACACCAAAAAACATATGTGCGTTGCAACAACCTGTGTGTTGTGCTGTGCTAAAATGCAAATAGCTCCTAATTTTGGTGTGTGTTGAGGTGCATTGTAGCCCATCCATTGCCTAACTTAGCACACCACAATGCATTGTCAGTGCACCAAAAACACATTTGCTGCAGCACACTGCGTGGTGTGAACAGGCCCTGTGTCCATAGCTTTCTTGGAAATGTCAAAAAGACTTTGTTATTTTCTTTTTTTAGTATCATCAGGTACAACAACATCTATCCCTACAACACTCACCACCACGGGGACTAAGACAACTCCGTATCTAAGTAAGTACAAGTAAACAGTCTACATTAAATTATGGTGTGTATAATACTGCAGATTACCTGAACTCATGTTGATAGCTCATTCTGTGTGATCAGCCTTATGGTTACGTACACTGTGCTTATCTGTACTTAGCTATGTTGTGTGATACTGCAGTGTACATGCGGGAGGCAGTAGGCTCAATTCACAAAACTAACACTCAAGGATAAGAGTTTTTAATCAGACGAATGTGATAGTTATTTTTAGCTGAATGTATACCTCAAGTTCCAGTGTCCCGACTCTTTCTCATACAGCGTAAGTATGATACATAGGGAGTCTAATGATATTCTTACATAAGTATGCCTGCACATTTATAACATTTTAAAGGGAATGTGTAGCATGTTTTGCATATAATTGCATTCTTTATTGTAGTAAGGATTCAAAAATAATGTTTCCGGTAAATGTGAAATATTGCATAGTAATGTTTTTATTTATTTTTTTAAATTACAAAAGTAGAGCTTTAGATATCTTTTCAAGACTCTAGACAGTTTACAGAACTCAATAGCTGAAGCTGAAATTTACATATACAAAAGAATAACTCAACAAAAGCTTAGTGCAAAGTTCAAATCAGACAAAGCAAGCCTTCGGGAAGGTTGCTACTCTCTCCCTACCTAACCCACAATAATTTCTAATGTAATTATAGATAGTGGAAAGCAAACAGATATAAAATAATGGCTTAGAGATGTAACACTATATAATACTATTGTAGAAACATAGGTGTCTATTCACAAAGCTGCCGAGGGCAGCCAAGTGAATGACCGATCAGAAGTGAAGTGAGCCGAACACTGTTCGGCTATTCACTTCAGGCTGGTACAGCTGATTTCAGCCGTACATCGGCTTGCTTCTTGTGGCTTCGGATCAGCCGAACATGCAGTGGAGTGAGGTCTGGACAACTGCACCCCGCTCAGATTAGTACAAAAAGACAGGTAGGATAGGTAGCTACCTATCTATCCTACCTGTCTTTTTGTACAATATAATACTATATAATTAACCCAAAATTAGTAGAGTTTGCCTTCAGCAATTACATCTGAGAGTACTGCATCAATCATGACTGGTTCCCTTTTAACATTTTAGTTGGAAATGTTATAAACATAACGTGATTATAGCATAATTATGTATTAGTTTTCACTGTCTATTTGTATTTTATGGAATATTATTTCTTTTTATACAGCACCTACTTTTGTTTATCCATCAACAACAACAAGGAAAGCTACCTCTGCTGAAATAGAGGGTAATTTTCATAATGATATGGTCATAAATATACTTTTATTACAATGAAAAAAAGTCATAGCAAGCACAGCCTTACTTACAAACATACCCGTGAATAATTTAGTTTGGAACTGAACATCTTGCAAAAGAAAGGTGTACACTATGCCAATAGATTAGTCAAAGTATAGCAATTACTTTTCACAACTTTACTGGTAAAAATATCTGGAAATGGGCATCACAATGAAGTGTCTTAAAGGGTACGTCCACTTACCCTTTAAATGGCAAATAGAGAGTACTCAAAATCCATAGTGCAGGGCTGCCTTACACGGAAGTACGGGGTGCAGATGGCACACCTGTACCTGCGGGGGGGTGTAAGAGAGGGCCAGATTGGAGAGGGAAATTCAATTTTCCCAAATTTACTTGGGAAGGTGGACTTACCCTATAAGGAATACATTTTCTTCCTACCGATAGCAACTAATCAGATTTTCTCTATTTTGCAGTACAAAAAAAGGAGAAAGGGGAAATCTCATATGTTCCCATGTTCGCAGCTCGCGGTATACTGAGACGCCGCAGCCGGAGCAGATCCCGACATCGATGTTGAGATCCACCCAGCTACGTGAGTGACAGCTGGCTCTGCCTATCTAGAGGCATGGCCAGCTGTACCCGCCCCCTCCCCCGTCCGTTACGCCAGTCAGTGCTGGTGGATCGGAGCGGGGAGGGGGGAATCCAGCCCCTCCCCTGTCACGGCAGAGAGCCGTGACAGGATCGAGAAGTGAGCGAACACCGGTATGTGTTCGCTCACTTCCCGATCTACTGAGCCGACCTGTGACAGTCTCATTGTCACAGGTTGGCTAGAACTATGAGGTGAGTGAAAAGCACTCACCTCATAGTTCTCCTTTAAGAAAAATGTAGCTTATTTGTGTATCACTCGGCTGTAGATCCTCAAATCATCTCTGAATTGGTGCACACAACATAAATTCAGAACTGATTTGATAATCTGCAGCTGACTGATACACAAGACAGACACCAACAAGCTACATTCTTGGTAATAGTTAAGGTACTTTAATGCTTTTATAAGTTTTAACTCCTGAGTTTAGTATCACTAGAAGTTTCCAACTGCTCTAATCAGAGCTTGTAGAAGGGCAATGAAGTTATGATTATGTGTTATGATTGTGATGTGACATTATGTATACGTTACATTTGATCTGAAATAAAGTCTGCTAGTGCCCACTGTCTGATTAGTTTCTAACCTTAGCTGCCTATATTCCACAGTTAAGACAACCACTACAACTAAGACTCCAACTGTTACAGAGAGTACACCTACTACTACAAGGACTACTACTACTACATCTGTTACCACATCTCCACCTTCATGTGAGTTGACAGCGTATTAGTCTTCACAGTAACATTTAATATAACACAACAGTGTCAAATATATTAAGTGCTGAATGAACAATTGAAAATCAAACAAACAATCCACAAAATGACAATATACTAAGGAATAGCACTTTAACAGCCAACACTGTGTGAAAAACATGTAACAAAATAAATGATATATAAAAGTGTCCAGGTGATTCCTAATTCAAAACAAAGTATTTTGCTGTAGATCTTTAAATCATCTCTGAATTGGTGCTGACACTGTGCTTCCTTCTGGAAGGTGGCTACTTTTGTTCCCCGTGCTTGTGTTATAAAGTAGCCACAACTCCAAGCTCAATCCTGTGATAGACTTTAATTTCAATACAAATTAGTAAACTAAACAGATTGTAGTCTATCACAGGAGTGAGCTTGTAGCGATGGCTACTTTACAACACACACAGGGTCCATGGGGAAAAAAAGTAGCCACCCTCCAGAAGGAAGGACAGTGTCGGCACCAATTCAGAGATGATTTGAGGATCTACAGCTGAGTGATAAACAAAAAAAAAAAAAATTTTGTTAATAGTTAGGGTACTTGAATGCATTACTAAGATTTAACTCCTGAGTTTAGTGTCACTATAAGGGAAGGGAGCCCTCACCCGGCAACCTAATGTGATTATTACACAAAGTGAAATGCATCTTGCCATTGGCTAATCCCACTCATTATTCTTAAATAGAATGAGGAGTGTGATCAGTGACCTCTTGGAGTTGGTCTGGCCATCAAAAAGTAACCGCCTGCCCTCTCTGTTCTTTGAGTATGTCACAGCTTTATTGGCATTTTTTTACTTTGCCAGCCGTAAATGGTTCCAGTTTAAGCCCTCTGTAAGTTTTGGCTGGTCAGACACTTGCCTGGAACCTGTAGTGAAGACAGAAATTTAGGCAATGTTATAGTCATAGTTATTTGGTACTCACTGCCTACTTGTGACTGGCACAATTTTATTAAAGTTTATCAAGCATATTGGTTATTAGATATGCTGTTGGAATCCAATTAAGCGGTGGCCTTTCCCTTCCAAATAACTTGTGTATTTTTTGGAGCAGAGCCTTTCACTTTATTGGGTAGGTATGTTGGGTTGCTTATGTTTCTGAGCCGTGATGAGTTCTCTTTACAAACTGACTAGGAGTGTCAGATTCCTGGTCCTCCGCTGCACTCATTCGGGTCCTTTCGCCAACCGCTACATCATTACTGTGTCCTTCACTTTACTATCTTATTTAGCCACAGAGTAGCTTTAAGGGCTCATTTACACTTAAGCAACACATTAACCAACAACGTTACCACAACACACAGCAATCCACTTGATCTATGTGCGGTGCATTGCCATTCATGACACCCCAAGCCACTGTAAAGTAAAGAGCAATGCACCGGAGCACACCATAACATACATACTGTGCGTGGTGGTGCTCTGCATTGTTAACAAAAAGGGTTTCTGCATTTTTTATCATTTAGGTGCATTGACAGCCCAGTCAAGGGTAGTAGCGCTTTAGACTCCGTCATTTTGTTTTGTCTGCTCTGACAGCCCAGTCAGTCTGCCTTAATACAGCAGGCATCTAGTGGTAAAAACTAAAAATAAATATGTATTTCTATGTTGAATTTCCATAGGTTCTATCCTACTCCTAATATACATATCAATTTAGAAGTATGTACACTTACTTATTGAAGATTGCCATAGGATGTACTTCCTCAATGCACTGACACAATTTCACTCTGTGAATATGCATTGCTCACAGAGCTGTGTCAATGTCAAAACAATGTAACATTGTCATTGCTTGCTGGAAGCAATGCACTGTGGTATATTCAGACTTAACAAATCAAGATTGCATCACATCAAGCAGCAGGGAAAGAGGTGCAAAGCACACCGGGAATCCAGGAAGTTGTTGAAAGTGATGGGCAGACAGAAGGCAGCACTCGCTACATGAAAGGGATTTTTACAAGTAAGCTTTGATTGCATTATCAAAAACAATTCTAATATGTTTTCCTATTACAATGCCGATGTTATATTAGGATAGTATACTGTGACTCTATGGGGTTGATTTACTAACCTAAACACACACACACACCAGCACAGCAAAACGTATTTATCAACCAAAAAGTCTCTAAAAGCATATTTCCACTAATGTCATATATGGAAAAATCATGCACATGATGCATATATAATGCTGCTTCACAGTTTAGTCGAAAATGGTTAGCTCATGCATTTACATTCCTGCATTCATCAACGCAAGCAACATAACATAGAGCTAATTTACACCACATTACCTTGCAATTCATTGCAGGGCTTTGAACAACACACCTGCTGGGTGTGTACACACTACAAAGGTGTTTTGATTCCTCCCATAGATCATGCTGGGAGGGAACACACTACAGAGGTGTATACACGTTTGTGGTGTGTTTAAAAGGTTAGTAAATCAACCCCTATAACTCCTTTATTGAGTGGCCTAACTTGTGTTGAAGCTTGTGAATAACCCATTTTCCTCTTTTTGTCTCGTAACACCACATTTACTTCAACAGCAACAACTACAAGCAAGGTAACTACTGTTACTACCACCCCTACTATTCTAACCACCACAGCCTGCACCACAGAGGAAACTGAGGAAACAACCCCTGTCACCTCAGAAACTACTACAACTTCAGTAACTACTACTTCTACTATACCTCCTTCAACAGGTAACAAAACAATGTTATTCCATTCAAATATGCTGAATAAGCTTTCTGTATGTACAGATGACTTTCACCGTTTTCACTTTGAGTACGTGCATGTGCATTGATCAATTAGTCTTCATTTTGTCATAAATAATTCTGGGCAGGACATAAACACAGTGCACACAGAGTGGAGTCCAATATCTTGCAAAGACATATGTCTTTGCAAGATATTGAACTCCCTTCTGTGTGCACTGTGTCTATGTCTTGTCCTTCTCTGTGTCTATGTGCATCAAAGGTAAAAGCCCAACACTGTGCTTTTCCCTGAAGCTTTTCCAAACTTAGTTTCAGTCACAGCAGTGTGCACAACAAGTCTGTCTTTTGAATAAAGAACTACTATCTGAGGTTCTGCAGTACTTATGTTATCCATTCTTGACAAATGGAATCAACAGGTGAAAAAAACATTTCTATTTTAGCAGTAAAATGTAAGAAAAACCCCACTATATGTTTGTTATGTTCCCTTTCACACAGCATACCTACAAACTGTTTTCTATAAAAGATTTCTTCCCTTTTAGATGTCTCTGTATAGCAGGCCTTTGAACAGCCTGCAAGCTTCTCTCTACAATTTCAAACTAACAGGAAACTCTATATGACCCTATAGAAAGACACAATAAATGTCCTCTGATTAACATGCAATGCTTCTAGATTTTTAACTCTGTGTTAGGACAGGCAGTTAAATCTAGTTTACAACTGAAAATGAAATGGGCCAGCACCGTACACACG